GGGCATGGAGCACCTCCCGGACGACGTGCTGCTGGAGGTGATGCAGCACCTGGGTGTGCGGCACCTCTTCGCCCTCCGCCTCGTGTGCAAGAGGTTCGAGAGCCTGGCCCTCAGCCCGCACCTGTGGCGCCACCTGTACGCCCCCGGCCACGACGACGGCGACCCTCACGGCTGTTACGGATGCTCCTCGCTGCGGCTGGCGCCATGCTTGCGCCACATGTCCCTCACACTCCCGTTGCAGCGGCATCACAAGCTCTACGCGACGACCCGGTGCGGTGTGTCGAACTTGGCCATAAGCGTACATGATGCCCCTGGCGGTACTGCCGGTGCTGTCCAAGCAGACCTGGTGATCCGCAACCAAGAGGCCCTGGGGCGGATGAAGATCCTGGACCTATATCTGCCTTCGAACATTAATGAGACTCCTCTATTAAGAACGGTGGCGACCATATCTGGACTGGAGAGTCTGAGAATTTCGTGTTATTCCCGCGCTTTCCCCCGTTCCTTGACTGGTCTACGTATGCCCAGGTCGTCGCTAAAGCATTTCAGTTGTACACATCGGCCGCGATCGGAGGCCTTCTGCAACTTGATGCTGACCACGCACGCTGCCACCCTAGAACACGTCGACCTCCTTGACGAGTACACACCGTCCTCGGCGACGGCGCCCTTGCTCGCCGCCATACCAAACCTTCGCCAGTTGGAGTGCTGCACTCTCCCCGGGCTGGGGGCCGTGGGGGCGGCGTGCGAGTCGCTGGCGAGCTTGGAACTCAACATCACCAGAGGCGAGCCGGGGGAGCGTTTCGAGTCCCGGATGCGCGAGGCTGCGGAGCTCTTGCGCCACGCCAAACAGCTGCGCAGGCTCGAGCTCAAGTACAACAGTAGCGACGTGAGCATGCCTGCAGCTGCCGATATGGACTTGATCCTGGCTCTGGTGCCAGCCGGGCGGCGCTCCCGCTTGGAGTGGCTGAGGATCTGCAACCTCGACGACGACTGGGACGGCTACTCCTACCAGTTGCAGACGCTGTGGGACCTGCTGCCCTCTCTTCCCTGCCTGCGGCACCTGGACGTCGGGCCCGTGCCGTTCGAGTTCCTTCTGCGCGTCACGCCCGAGACGACCCCGGCGCTGCGGACCCTCATGGTGTTTACGGAGTCGGGTGATGCGGTGTGCGCCCACGACTTTCTGCACACTGAAGTCGTCCAGACGGTCCTGTCCGTGAACCCGTCGCTGCGGCTCTACGTCTATCTACCCAAGTACTGTGGCCAAAGCGATCCCTGCGAGGCGTGTGCGCTGGGGTGCCACCAGGAGCTGCGGGACGACAAAATGGACTATTACACACTTCAGCACTTGCTTATGATGAAGGCCTGCGACCACGTCCTCATTCCTCGATGAAACTGTGTGGTTATCTTCTCATCTTTGCCATCTTGATTGTTTAGTACTTGTATGGAGCAAATCTTTTTTTTTTCCTCCTCCTTTCTTATTTAAGAGGAAGAGAGGAGCTCACATAGAAATGAGCTATACACTTTTATTTTGAGGATAATGAAATAATATTTACTACATTAATTCAAATTAGGTTTAAAACCAAACCTATCCCTAAACTAAAGCAGACTTACTGTCTACCAGGTGTAGGTATCTATGTGTTTAATTTTCATTCTTGTATGAGGTATATGTGAAGCTAAAGGGATACTAATAAATTTACTGGAAAACTGATTATCCTGAAATGTATTTATTGCACTCTATCTAAATATATTCATTTTCTTTTCGTAAACGAGGAGGAAATAAAGAAGTGAATTATAACCAATGTCAGTAGGGCCTACCTTAATCATGCACAGTGCTCTGAGACTGTGGCGAACAGTTTCTTTTATTGATTGTTGTAGTATAGGGGGTCCAGAAAGATAAAAACTGGTGTGGCCTCTATCAAACGAGGTCTTCTCGTCACCTAATGGTTCGTGAATTTTGTCGAGTTTGTCGTTCCCGCCCCAGTAAGAGGGAACGGTCTGAGAGAGAGAGAGAGAGAGAGAGAGAGAGAGAGAGAGAGAGAGAGAGATATTTGATATTTGATATTTATTGTTTAAGGGTTTACATTAAAGAGCTAAAAGCTCCGCTTACAATGTAAGCCCGCTCTCTGACATAGTTGTAAGATTATCACAATTTTCGAGATCATGTTAGACAAATGATACACAGAAAATAGACAAAATAAAAGTTCAAAGATGAAATATAGTAGACAATACACACAACTCATGAATTTATGTAGTTAACAACAATTTTCTTAACAGTATACATGGATTTGCCGATGTACTTATGCAATTGGAGGTCATTCCATAGGTTTACTGACTGTACAAGGAAGGATTTGTGCATTCTTTCGGTGAAATGAACTGGGATTTGCAAAGATTGTTTGCTCGATCTGGTAGAACGGGAGTTAGTTGTAGCAGTCATTACATATTTCATGTACAAATATCCAGGCATTCTAGTGTTAATGATTCGAAAGACCATGAGAGCTACTGACAGCATCCTTCTCTCTTTTAACTTCATTAATCCAAGCCGTATGTATGATGGGGTGATGTGCTCGAACTTTGAGACACCGGTAATAAATCTCACACAGGCATTCTGCAATCTCTGGAGTTTAAGCCCATTAACATCACTAATGTCAGTAAATAATACAGAGGAATAATCAAAATGGGGCATTACAAGAGCAGAGATTAATGCCTTTCTTATGTTGCATGGGATGAATGACATACATCGTCTCAGTTGGGCTATAATTCCAAACACCTTTTTCACCAACATGTTGCAGTGCTCCGTCCAGCTCAAAGTACAATCAAATATTACACCCAA